TCAAAAAAAAAAAAAAAAATACAAATAAAAACCTAATGTAACAACTATTTACATAACATTTACATCATATTAGGTGTTATAGGTAATCTAGAAATGATTTAAGTATACAGGAGGATGTCTGTGGGTTATATGCAAATATTATGCCCCTTTACATAAGGGACTGAAGCATCCTTAGATTTCAGTATGCAGAGGGTTCTATACTCAATCCCCAAAGGATACTGAAGGGTGGATGACTGAAATTGGCAATGTCCTGAATTTAGGAGTAAATTTTGAAACTAAAAATTTCAAGGTTACAGGCAGTAGCTCACGCCTATAATCCCAGCACTTGGGCCGCCAAGGCAGGTGGATTGCCTAAGGTCACCAGTTTAAAACCAGTCTGAGTTACAGTGAGACTTCGTCTCTAAAAATAGCTGGGCGTTGTGGCGGGCACCTGTGGTGGGCACCTATAGTCTGAGCTACTTGGGAGGTTGAGGCAAAAGACTCACTTAAGCACAGGAACCTGAGGATGCTGTGAGCTATGACATCATGGCACTCTACCAAGGGTGACAAAGGGAGACTCTGTCTAAAAAAAAAAAGTTCAAAGTTGATTTGCACTTTGTTTTACTTGCCAAGGCCATAGCTTATGCTATGAGCTTTTATAGGCTCATAAATGCATCAACTTGCTTCTTGTGAGAGGTTAACAGAGATAAAAAGTGGCTTTGGAGCCTGGAGGGTGAACTTTTAATTTTATTGAGGACACCATCCTCCACATACTCCGTTAATGGGTATGTGGTCAATGCTCCCACAGGCAGCTTGCTTATTCTTCAACTATAGATGACTGTTGCATTCTAGCTACTTTCCAAAACTCTCTTCACTGTGGGAAAATGCTATCACTTTTCATACCTCCGGTCCTTGGTACTTATTGTGCTCATTGACTGGAACATCTTTCCCTTCTTTATTTTTATTTATTTATTTTTTTGAAACAGAGTCTCACTCTGTTGTTGCCTTGGGTAGAGTACCCTGGCATCATCAAAGCTCACAGCAACCTCAAACTCTTGGGCTTAAGTTATCCTTTCGCATCAGCCTCCCAAGTAGCTCAGACTATAGGTGCCCACCACAACACCCGCTAGTTCTTCTATTTTCAGTAGAGGCAGGGTCTCTTGCTCAGGCTAGTCTTGAACTCCTGAGTTCAAGCAATCCACCCACCTGGGCCTCCCAGAGTGCAGGGATTACAGGCATGAGCCACCACACCTGACCATCTTCCCCTTCTTTAAAGAAGGGATTTAAGGGCTTGGTGCCTGTAGCACAGCGGTTACAGCGCCAGCCACATGCACCAAGGCTGGTGGGTTCCAGCCCGGCCTGCGCCAGCTAAACAACAATAACTACAACAAAAAAATAGCCAGGCATTGTGGCAGGTGCCTGTAGTCCCAGCTACTTGGAAGGCTGAGGCAAGAGAATTACTTAAGCCCAAGAGTTTGAGGTTGCTGTGAGCTGTGATGCCACAGCATTCTACCAAGGGCAACATAGTGAGACTCTGTCTCAAAAAAAAAGGGATTTAAGTGTCTTCAGAGTTCAGGATGGTGAACTTCTATTCATTTTTACATCCTAGCCTTAGCTTTACCACCTCTGTAGAGGCTTGTCTCTCTTTTTCCAGAAGGCTTTGAGACTTTTTGTTCACTCTCATTGTACCTTCGCCATACCTTCAGTAGAATATTTATCCTACTACACAGTAACTATTTTCATGTCTATCTTACAACTGTAAGCTTCTTAAGGAAAGGACTATTCTTATTCATCATTGTGTACAACCAGCCCCGGGGCCCATTCCAATTTCTAGATACAAAGCAGATACTCATAGGTAAGAGCTGGAAGGGTATATAAGCAATGTAGCAGAAAATAGGAAAAAAGCTAGGGCCACGTTTAGTGTTTGGCAGCCAAAAAGAACTGTTAACATTCCTAACTTCCTTTCTCTGGCTATCAATTCTAGTTCCCTGGAACTAGCATCTACCATAAAGAATATTTGTCTTGGCTAGGTGAGGTGGCTCACCTCTATAATCTTAGCACTCTGGGAGGCTGAGGTAGGTTGAGTGCCTGAGCTCAGGAGTTCAAGACCAGTCTAAGCAAAAGCGAGACTCCCCCATCTCTACCAAAAATAGAAAAACTAGCTGGGTGTTGTGGCAGGTACCTGTAGTCCCAGCTACTGAATAGGGTAGCTGAGGCAGGATCACCTGAACCCAGGAGTGTGAAGTTGCTGTGAACTAAGCTGACACAATGGCACTTTCAGTGGTTTTTTTTTTTTTTTTTGAGACAGAGCCTCAAGCTGTCCCCCTGGGTAGAGTGCCATGGCATTACAGCTCACAGCAACCTCCAACTCCTGGGCTCAAGCGAGTCTCCTGCCTCCGCCTCCCAAGTAGCTGGGACCACAGGCGCCCGCCACAGCGCCCGGCTATTTTTTTGGTTGCAGCTGTCATTGTTGTTTGGCGGGTCCGGGCTGGGGATTCAAACCCGCCACCTTAGGTGTACGTGGCTGGCGCCTTAGCCGGTTGAGCTATAGGCGCCGAGCCAACTTTCAGTGGTTCTTAACAGAAAGACATTGACCTCAAGGGGGGATTTGGTGGTCTGGAGACATTTTTGGTTGTTACCACTGGAGAGCTACTGAGATCTAGTGGGTCAGGCCAGGGATACTTCTAAACATTCTACAATATTCAGGACACCATTCCCTCCAAAGGATTATCAGGACCCAAAATGTCAATAGTGCAAGACATACTGAAACGTATGTCATAGGGTATAGTCACAACTCTATACACCCACCCATAACGTTGTCATGTTATACACATATACTGTATATAGTCAATATATCTACACATATCCAGAAGGTATTATGTACTTATATAAGATATACCTGGAATAGCAACCTGTCATGTATGTGCCATACATGCACTGATTATGGCTGTCAAGACCTAAATGCTAAAGTCAGTCTGATATACTGGAAAGAACGCTGACCCTCAGAAAAGTTAAGTGTTCTTTCTGTATAGTTTCATTTCATTCTCATAACCGTATGAGGATATTATATGATCCCAACTTTATGCAATGACTAGCTCAGGATCAGACTTGTGATGGCTGACTCCACAATATAGGCAGGAAATGCGTTTGTTATTTACTAATGCATCTCAAGCATCCAAACAGTGCCTCATTAAACATTTACAAAGTGATGAGTGGGAAGTAGGACCCAGCTCTATTTTCAGCCCTTTGCTCTTAACCAGTCCATCGCTACCTTAATAGTCAGAAACCCTGCAATGGAGTCTGCAATCCCCATGGGCCCTAAGAAGCAACTTCACCAAGCTGAGCTTCAGCGTATCTATCAGTAAAGTGGAGCTGAACGAAAGCAACCCTTCCTAGGGTTAGAGCAAGGAGTTCGAGACCAATCTGAGCAAAAGCTCCACACAGCACAGGTTCCTCAGAAAAGTCGGTGACCTCGTGGAGCCAGGGACCCCACGCCGTCAGCCGAGGTGGACGGAGGGCGAAGCCCCTCCGGGAGGCAGATGTTACATCGGGCATGGGCGAAAACCCACCGCTCAGCTTAAGTGGGGAGAGAGAGCCCAGCACCAGCAACCCCAGCGATGTCCTTGCTCGCCGACCTCTTCAAGCTCCCACCCGGAAAACCGCAGGCATCGCCACGCCTTGCCTCCCAGTCGCAGCGCGTCTGTGTGCGCATGCGTGACCCCGCGGTCAGAGACGGCGGCCGGGAGGCGGAAGTGAAGGGTTGTTGTGGCTCAGAGGGCTGCGCTAGGAGCTCCTTCTGCCGCTGCTGCTGCTGCTGCTGAGGCAGCGGCGCTGCCGGCCTCGGGCCGCTCGGCCTTGCGACTCACTTTCCAGCCTCTCCTGAGCCCGCCGGGGCCCGCGCCGGCTAGCGCTTGCCCTATGAGTGTGTCACTGGTTGTCATCCGACTGGAGCTCGCGGAACACTCGCCCATCCCCGCCGGCTTTGGCTTCAGCGCAGCCGGTGAGTCCTGCGGCGTCTCAGCCTTCCGTGCAGCTAGGTCTGAGCCCGGGGGACTCGCCCTCCCAAAGTATGGGCCCAGGCAAAGGCGGCAGCGAGGGCTTTTTCGTTAGGAAGAAACCGAGAAGTGGTTGGGAGCCCTCTTCATTCTTGAGAGGCCTTCCCAGATGTTATGTCTGGGGTGTCCTTCCCTCCCTCTCTCCTTGTGCCTTTCTACAGGCGTTCTGTTTATACCTGGAGCGTCTCCCTCTAACCTACTTAAGAGTGGAATTGTTTGTGTATCTCGCTTAATTTCCTCTAGGTTCCTTAAAGGCAAGCACTGGGTTTCCAACGACGCCGGTGGTTCCTTGTTTAATGAAGTGTTTCTCTATAGAAGTCTATCTCTTTAGGCACCCCATAATAGTAGTAAAAACTAAAATTTAGACACGTCCTATATCCCAGCAATTCGTGTATATTTGCACTTACACTGTAAGGTAGATGGGTGTTTTGCACCTTTTACAAATTGTGGAATGGGGTTAGTGATTAAATAGTTTTCCCAAGGTTATCTGTAATTGGTGAAACTGGGATTCTAACTGGGGAGCTGGACTTTAGTCTGAGTTCTTTTCACATAGCTCCTCAGTGGGGAATGCAGCCTGTTCCTTGGCCCTCAAATAATTACCAAATAATAACATTCATTCAAGAAATATTTAGTGAACCTTGTCTGTCTGCTAGAGTTTTTGTTGTGTGTAGACTCAGACATGGTGTCTACTTTAATAGCATTGGCAATTCACTGGGGACATAAATTAAACGTTTACAGAATGGCTCGGCGCCTGTAGCTCAGCAGCTAGGGCACCAGCCACATAAAGCTGGCGGATTTGACTCCAACCTGGGCCTGCCAAACATCAATGACAGCTACAACCAAAAAATAGCTGGACATCATGGTGGGTGCCTGTAGCTCCAGCTACTTGGAAGGCTGAGGCAAGACAATCACTTAAGCCTAAGAGTTGGAGGTTGCTGTGAGCTGTGATGCTAGAACACTCTACCCAGGGTAGAGTTTGAAACTCTGTCTCAAAATAAACACAAATAAATATGTACAGAATAAGTATTGAATTACAACTGCAATAAGTGCTTTGAAGGAAAGGAGCAGCAGTTTGGAAAAGTATTACAAGAAGATCCATTTGGTTCAGAGAGAAGCCCTGGGGCAGGTGCTACTAACCCTAACCTCTCTCTTTCAACATTCATGGAATAAATTAGCTTTGTTTTATTGTTGATAGCATGTTGTAGTAGTTGTTCTTCAGTGACACACCTCTTAACTATTTACAGTTGTTGAAATTTTGAGTAGTGTCACTGGGTACGTGAACTTTGGAACTGCAAATTAAAGATTGAATATGACTTATGGCTTATGAGCACTTTTCAAAAAGTAACTTCTGAGTTTTGAAAGTTAAGTTGATGTCTTGGTGCCTGTAGCTCAGGCGGCTTAGGCGCCAGCCACATACACCAGAGCTGGCGGGCTCAAATCCAGCCTGGGCCTGCCAAACAACAATGACAACTACAACCAAAAAAATAGCAGGGTGTCGTGGAAGGCGCCTGCAGTCCCAGCTACGTAGGAGGCTGAGGCAAGAGAATCACTTGAGCTCAGGAGTTGGAGGTTGCTGTGAGCTGTGACGCCATGACACTCTACCCAGGATGACAATTTGAAGCTCTGTCTCAAAAAAAAAAAAAAAAAAAAAGAAAGTTAAGTTGACATCCCTATGTAGACATTTACATGGGTCATTGAGTCATTTAGTCATTTATTCATGATCCAGAGCAGAGGTCCTCAAACTTTTTAAACAGGGGGCCAGTTCACTGTCCCTCAGACAGTTAGAGGCCTGGACTGCAGGCCCCAGGATGAATTCGCTGCTAAGCAGGACAGGCAGTGGTGGCAAAAACACCTGGCAGGCTAGATAAATGTCCTAGGCCGTCCGCAGGTGGCCTGCGGGCTGTAGTTTGAGGACGCCTGATCTAGAGCTTCCTTCTGTGTGGGTAGGCAACTGTTGGTATAAGTACTGGGAATAAATGATGGGCAAAACAAGTTCCTTCTCTGACAGAGCTTATATTAAGGATGTTTCAGTCAAGTCTCCAATTTTTTTTCCCCTTTTTATGTGTTTCATTGATTTAAGACACTAATCACACAATTTTCATGGCTTAAGAATAATCCCAGATGTCTAAGACTACCCTGGAAGGTTTAAAAAAAATTTGTTTTTTAATGGCCTAGGTACTTTCATTTTGGGCTCATCACATTTTCATTTTATCAGATGTTAATAAAATATTAATTAGGCTCTGTGCCCATAGTTCAGTGAGTAGGGTGCTGACCATATACACCAAAGCTGGCAGGTTCAAGCTCAGCCTAGGCCTGCTAAACAACAATGACAACTCCAAACAAAAAATAGCCAGGTGTTGTGGTGGGTACCTGTGGTCCTAGCTACTCAGGAGGCTAAGGCAAGAGAATCGCTTAAGCTCCAGAGTTTGAGATTGCTTTGAGCTGTGATGCCATGGCACTCTACCAAGGGCCATGTAATAAGACTGTCTCAAAAAACAATAATAAATAAAAATAAAATGTTAGTTCATCTGGGCATAATCATAGTTGAACCTGCTCTAAGGCTGTTACTCTTGTTGATTCATGTTAAAGTGCATCATTTCACTAGAACAACCCTACATTTCTGAGTTTATTTACTGGCTGATCATTGACTGTTTATTAGGTATTGTAGGAGTCCCAGAGGTGAGAGAAATGGATACTACAAAGCCTTTTTATCATCTTGGGGGAAAGCAAGGAGAGAGAACAAAGGGAAACCTATTGATGGATACATTGAAAATGGAGAAGAACTTATTTTATTATCAGGTATTAATCATTCATGTGTTCTTTAGCTGGGGAAATGTCTGATGAGGAGATCAAAAGGAAGACGCTAGCTTCAGCTGTTGCCTGTTTAGAAGGGAAGTCACCAGGAGAGAAAGCAGCGATCATCCATCAGCACCTTGGCCGTCGAGAAATGACAGATGTGATCATTGAGACCATGAAGTCCAACCCAGGTATGCGCTCTAAAATCATGGACTCTTGAAATGCCAGCTCCTGGCTGTCTGTAATATACATGTTGTTTGAGGAGCCCATGATTTGATCTCTGACATACTTTTTATCTTTCATGGTGCTATACATGAGATTGGTAGGGCACATTTCAGTACCTGTAAGTATTTCTTTTTTTTTTTGAGACAGAGTTAAGCTGTTGCCCTGGGTAGAGTGCTGTGGAGTCATAGCTCACAGCAACCTCCAACTCTTGAGCTCAAGCGATCCTCTTGCCTTAGTTTTTCTATTTTTAGTAGAGATGGGATCTTGCTTTTCCTCAAGCTAGTCTTGAACTCATAAGCTCAAATAATCTACCCTTCTTGGCCTCCCAGAGTGCTAGGATTACAGGCATGAGCCACCATACTGGCCCTCTAAGTATTTCTTTCAAATCAATCCTAATAGGGTTGACAACTGCATTTGGTGAGGGAGAGTTTCTTACCATTTAATTGAGTAGCAGATCTGAGTGCATTCAGCTAAGCATCTTGTTCTTTCTGTTCTGTCAGATCATTTCACCTGGGGAAGTGGTTATATACAGTACTACACCAGCGTGGAGGTAGTCACAACTGGTAGAATTGGTTTTCAAACATTTGGTACCCCATAATGTTTTGTCCCACTTAGGACTGTATGGTGGGAGATACCTGCTTGTCTTATAGTACTGCCCAGTGTAAGATCAATCCTGAGGATATTAATAAGATTTTTATAGGGCAAAGAGAACTTTAAAGTTAAAATGCTCCATGACTTGGCTGTTCTACAAATATATAAATTTTACAAAGAGATGGCCAACATGTAGAGAATATTTTGTGAATATTTTGTAAATAAAGGTACATGTAGCTATAATTTCCCATTTTCTCTGTTTGGTGACTTTTGAGATTTTTGTAGTTCTTCATACAGCACATTACAATGTGCTGTCAAAGTTTATTCTTCTGACTTGAAGTTTTTAATATAGTTTAGAATCTTTCAGCATATTTCTTATCCACTTATAATCTAATTTTTGATTTGTAAAAGATGAACTAAAAGGTACAGTGGAAGAAAGGAAGTCTTCAGAAGCATCCCCCACTGCACAGAAAAGTAGAGATCAAAGTAAAGAATGCATAAACACTGCTCCTGATTCTCCATCCAAACAGCTTCCAGACCAGATTTCGTTCTTCAGTGGAAATCCATCAGTTGAAATAGTTCATGGTATTATGCATCTATACAAGACAAAGTAAGAGAAACCTTTTTTCTTTTGAGTTAGTCTATTTTTTCCTGAAACTCTCTTGCCCTGAAGGAATGTAGGTATTTCAAGCTTCAAAAAGATAGTACTTTCATGTATTATGTGTTAGAGAATTATTAGATGTTTCACATTTGGTTACTCTTGTAGATTGGGTCAAAGCTTTTCCTTATAAAAGAAACATATGTACTTAGAAAGATATCCCTTTAGCTGGTAGATGTGGAAGGTAACTGGGGAATTAAAAGAAGGAATGGTTAAAAAAAAAAAAAAGAAAATGATCTACAACGTCATTATAGGCTCATGTCCCCACCAAATCTTTTCTAAAGAAGCTGGTTAAAAAGTGGGTTAAGTAGGGTAGCGCTTGTGGCTCAAGGAGGAGGGTGCCAGCCCCATATG